TGGATTAGTTGTCTTGGCCAGAAAGGTTGTTGTGGGCTTAGCTGTGTAGAAAATTGCCATAGCAAAGCCAGGAATGGATATGGCGGGGGCACTCAGCTCAGGTTCCAGTTCTGGGTCTTCTAATGAAGACATGCTATGACCTTGGACAAGTCATTTCCTTCCCCAAGTCTCAATTTTGCTCAGTTAATAAGATAAGAACAACCTGATACCTGCTTTCCACTGGCCTACTCCACTGACCTCTGGTCAGAATGTGCTTTGTAAAGCCCCAAGAATTACCCTAGCAGGAAAGAGTAGACACTGAAGGTGTGATCAGAATGCTGATTTCCATTCAGGGTCCCTTGAGGTCATGTTGGACCCATCTTGAAAACAGAAAAGGGGAATAATATGCTGCCAGTAATATTCAAGGAAGAGTCTCAGAGCCTTATGAGCTGGTGTGCAGAGCCCTTCTGCTCATGCAATGCATTGTCCTCCCCACACCTTTGCTGAGGAGGTTGTTACAGACGAGGAGCCCTCTCTTTGACAGGCGTGTGTATATTGGGTAGAGGTTGGGGACAGTCCCTGGATCAGGACCCTTCTTTCTTTGGCCTGGTACTTCCAAGTTCATCTCTGTTCATCTCTTAAAGTATCCTGATCCTGGAGCCCTAGGAAGTATTAGGGCTGCAGGAAGTCACCTCCCCCAACTAACACACACACACGCACACACATGCACGCACACACATACACGCACACGTACGTGCACACACACACACACACACACACACACACGCATGCACGCACACACACACACGCACACACACGCACGCACACACATACACGCACACGCACGCACGCACACATACACGCACACGTACGTGCACACACACACACACATACACGCACACGTACGTACACACACACACACACACACACACACACACACACACACGCCTCTTTTGGGGCCTCAGAAGGTTTTGGATGATACTTCAGGTTCCAGAGGCTGGAATGGCTCAGTCACACATCTCAGAACTGTTGCCCAGTTTGTGAAATCCCCATTCACCTGAAGGTATCAGGATACCAGGATTCTTGTATCACTTTGCCAAAAGCATGTGTTGTCTCCTGGTCCAAACCCCTTCACCTCTTTGTTTTCTCATCTGTAAAATGGGAGAAATAATTCCTGTCCCTCCCTCCATGGCAGATTTGCTGTGTTGAATGAGCAGGTTTGGGGGGTGGGTAGGGTGGGGGCTTGTTATTCTTGAAAGTTCCTTACCAATTTCTCATAGATGTCAGGACAGTAGAGGCCTGCAAAGGGGGTGAGAGGGGATGGCAGAAGTGGTTCCAATTCCAGGAGGTGGTGGGTCAGCTCTGAACAATGACTAATTCCTGAGCTGGGGTGTTGCAAGGGAGGTGCTTGGCCTTATGAGTCCCTGTCTTCCTCCTTTGAGTGAAGGCTCAGCCCAGGGACTGAAGGAAAAGACACAGACTCAGGGCATCAGGGTGGTTAAGCCTGAAGAAGAATTTTCAGTAGGAGAATCACACCAGTTCTAACATGGTTGTAAAGTCATCTAAACCACTGGTTTTAAACTCTCCTCCTCTTCTTCCTCCTCCTTTTCCCCCTCCTCCTCCCCTCTTCCTCTTCCTCCTTCCTCTTCCCCCTTCTCTTCTTCCTCTTCCTCCTCCTCCTTCTCCTTTTAAAAGCAGAACCCTTTCTTCAACAAGACCTTAGCATGAATGAACATCTTATCAGTCACTTCTGATAATCATGGAGACCCTGGGAACCACCACTGGTGTATTGTGTGCACAGGCAAATAAAAGTCTTAAGAGGGGACAGATGGAATGTGACCAAAGTCACACAATAAACCAGTGGTTAAGATTAAATTACTGAGAAAACATACCTCAAATGCAAGTCTGCCCCTCAGCACAATGGTCTCCAGGACAATGAAAACTCAGAGAAAGTAAGGGGTTGCCTCATTTAGAGTTCAATTACACAACCTGAGGACAGGCTCCCTTTGGGGTGTGGGGCAGGAAATGGTGACCATTTATGATACTGTCAAATCTCAACAGGCCTTCTTGGAAATAACAAGCTATCATGATGATATGACCGAATGTTTCTGAGACATGGATCCCCTTGCTAAAATAAAGAAGCAGGTGAGGTAAAACTGGACTCCTGGAAACCCTCCTGGCTGTTTAGGCCTTAGCTTTCTTTCATGGCTCCTCAGAACACTAGTGGCCAGATGGTACCAGTGGCTAAAGTGGTTGTCTATCTTCACAAAGGGCCCCAGGTGGCTCCCACCCATGGGCACAGGCACTTATGTGAGCCGCAAGTCAGCAAGTGACTTCTTGGACTCCTGGGCGAGCTTCCTGCCAGGTGCCTCAATGCTAGCACAGTCTACATGGGAAAGGACAGGGCAGTGAAGCACCCAAGGCCAGTCACATGGCTTTATCTCTTCATCATTCACCTCAGCAACCAAGGTCTCCCATTAGCAGACCTGGGGGAGGGGCTGTTCTGAGGTCTGTCTGGCTCCTGGCAACCAGGACCAAACAGGGTTAGCACAGAGGCTTAAGGACTGGAAAATATAAGGAAGGGGAAACAACCACTCAGAGCTGGCCTCTGGGGGCCTCTGGGAGTTCCCATGGCTCTGGCTCACAGCTGGTTCCATGTGGTTTACCCGGATAGGAGAGCTGGGGGCTGGAGGCAGTGGCCAGGGGTTATACCACCGCATGGACTCTTGGCTGGAGAAGTTCTTCCACCAGCAGCTGTGCCGCTAAACTCTTCAAGACGCTCAGTACTCTGGTTAAGCATTTCTGTGGTCAACGTGAAAGCTGCTGTGTCTCACGTTCTTCATCTATCTAGGTACCTTCTCACAGTGCATTCTCTGAGGGACGTGGGCACTTGGTAGTAGAGCTTGGAGTGGTTTCCTGACTTTGGATGGGATCCATTATCATTTCGAATGTTTTGACATGGGTGCTCCCTGGAAATCTTTGAAAACAAAGAAGTTAAAAAAAAAGCCTAGCTTGGTGGAGCCACAGTATATGAAA